CATCAATTTTTTTTCAAATATTTGCTATACTAAATATCAACAGATTGGTGCCCAGAAACCTGGATCATCCTCAGTTATAAGAGTAGGACCAAAGTCTTAAGTACTTTATGGAAGAACCATTTGGGTTTCGATTTATAACAAATGACTAGAGATTTAACAAGCTACTCACAGCAATTAGTGAAAACAGTGTTTTTCCTGTTAAATTTAATTCCTGTTAAAATATGAAAATAATAGGCTCCAATATAAAATAAAGTGTGCATACGCAAAAAAATAATAAAAAAATGTGGCATGTGTAACACTATGGTCCCTGTAACAATGCCAAGAAAGAATATCTTCAAAAAAGGTTAGAAGAAAAGTAAAGATAGCACGTGCATCAGTCATTACGCATGCACTGATGCATTACGTGCATCAGTATATAAAGAGATGAAATAAGAGAAGCTATGAAATACAAATACAGCGACAATGCTCGAACTATTTATAATATTGAAAACAACTGAAGTTTGAAGTTAGGTGTTAACGGTAAGCTACGAGCGCCTGTAAGAAAAAAGGAAAAATAAGGTGCAGTTAATTCTTGGCGTAGAAAATAGCTTATTTTGTCCAAAAGTAAATGACAGACTTCCCATATGTAGTTCTATAGATACAATTGGGCAGAAATCTGTCAGTTTCCCCTAGCAGAGGGAAAAAATAGGTTAAAAGGAAAGTATCTAACTATGAAGTTTACAGGTGCTATCTTTTAAAACTACCAGCAATCTGTTCAGAATTCTCTCTAAAAGCTTATCAAGGAAACCCTAGCACTGTAGTTCAAGGAAGGAAATAAAACTACAAAATGTCCAACAATATTCTGAAAACATTAAAATATGATACCAAGAATGGAAGTGCTCAAACTATATTAGAGCTCAAACTACACAAACAAGAACTTTGTTGTCCTCTTCACTCAGCATGCTCTGCGAGTTCAACAGAACCAGTAAAATTCCACTTGCAGCACACTACTTGCATTAAAATTAAAATATTAAAGCAATAATAAGAAAAACCAATATGCCTTGAATGAAACTGCTGTGGTTTATTGCGCAGTTCAAAATATTTAGGAGGGAGGAACTGCAGGCTGGGTTTCCACAGTTCAGGTTTGTTTGTTTTTTCCTGACAGCTCCTGCTTTTTTGGAGACAATGTAAAGCAAGTCAGAACCTCAGCTTACTGCTTAAACACAAGCCCCTCTCTG